ATATATAGAAAATATATGCATATATGTACACACAATATATATATATATATATATATTTAAAGTGTATATATAAAATATATCCAAGTGTAGATATATTCTTTATCTATGCTTGGAGTAAATAATTTTATTTGAATAGAGGCTGATAACTGAGAGCCAATGAAGTGATAAACAAATGCGTCAACCCTGCATCAATGCATGCATTAATGCATGCATTTATGCATGCATTAAAAGGGCTCTCCCTGCATGTGGGGCTTCCTATAGCGGTAGTTTGCTGTCTTTCTTTTCTGTACACCAAACATCGAAGTAAAAGGGAGGCTAGATGCTCTTTAAAAGTTTTTTCTTACATAAATACTGCTTAAGAGCGGCTTCAGCTTTACTTACAAGACTGCAGAGTGTTGTTATAATGTGTAGAGCCCTGCATAGTTTATGAAGAGATAAACTATAAGCAGCAGATCTTTACTTTTATATTTAAAGTGATTAGTTTTGTTGCATTAGATGTATTATCATCTTTGAAGTAGATTTTTTAATAAAAGAAGGAGAAGGAAGAGCAGAGAGGGTTTAAGCCTTTATTTGCACAATATCTTTATTAGCATTCAACACTGTCTACCTTTCTTCTAATGCAGATTCAGCTGTATATACACTCTAGAAGGAGACAATAAACAGCTGGACATCCCCTCGTGATAGAGTTTGTGGTGTATTTACGTCAAGCCCTCTATACACAAATGCATTTTGAAATTAGTTCATTAGGCATATCTTCTTTGTCTTTCTCTTCAGTCCCGCTATGATGACGAATGCGAAGGCAGTGAAAGGATATATTTTTATATTTGCATGCACATGCATGCATGCATGCAAGTGGCTCTCCGCGGTGTATAGACACCCCAGCAACAATATTTATACAGTCTTATCTGCAACAGCAGACTCCCTTACAGGATTCTAGCAGCTGAGCCAGCCCCCACAACAGCAAAAAGATTGCCGCAACAGCAGCAGCAGCAACAACAGCAGCAGCAGTTACAGCAGCAGCTACCAGCAGCAAGAATCAGCCTGTGTGGCAGCTGCGGTGTGTTGCAGCAGCAGCGTGGGGCTGCGGTATTTGTTGTCGTATTGCTTGTTCTTTACAACCCTAAACCCTAAACAAGTACACCATATAACAGAAACAAATCTATAAAATGCTGCTTATCCAGCATTTTCTATGATATTAACCGAAGCAAAATGCACTGAAATCTTGTTGTTATTTTATTTCTTCTTTGTTGGGGATAGATGGTATAACAGTATAAACATCTCTGTTGATCGTTTGCTAACATTGTTTATCTCCACAGCCTTTTAAAAGTTTGAGCCTATCTCTCCCCAACAGTAAAATTTTAATGTATTTTCATATACAGCCTGCATTATAACATGAATGTGTAAAGGAAGCATAAGAACTTAATGCAAGACGCTGTTGCAGAGGACCTCCTGACTTTACTTTATAATAAACCTATGCCCATTGGCTTCCGTTATTTCAAAAGCTCTGCCTATATCTATATGCAAAGTGAAGAACATGAAAGGTTGCTTCCTCTTCAATACAGGGCGCTGTGCTGTTCTCCCCACAGCCACTTGAGACTGCTGAACGGAGAGCTGCTTTGAAGATATTTCTTTTATAAGTACGTCTATAAGTACGTCAGGCGTTTAAGTTTATTGTTGTTTGTGTGTGGAGGGTCTTTCGCTTTTATCTGTATATTAATTATTTGCAGCCAAGTGTGTAGCGAGAGTTTTCTTTAGAAACAATGCTATTCCCTCCCAGAATAAATAAACAAATACATGAAAATATCAACAGGCATCAAAGACCCTACAACAAACAATATTTATCTGCTGCGTAGTTAGCTCCTACTACACAACATAATACAAATATAATATATATCTTTTTGTTTGTGTTGAGAGAAGATAGACAGAATATCCGCGAGAAGGTGAAGCCATCCAGAGGTTTTTAAAATAATTACTAGGTGTATTAAGGGTTAAATAATGCAAAAGAAATACTCTTTTATTTTATTTTAATTATTTAATAAAATGTCCGAACCAGGAATCGAACCTGGGTTTACACGGCCACAACGTGTTGTCCTAACCTCTAGACGATTCGGACCAAACGCTTTTGCTTTCCCCAATGGATCTTGGCTTTTGTGCAAGACAATACTTGAAAAGAATTAAAAAAAGAGGTATTTATGTTGCTTTCAAACAAAAATATATTCTAGATACTTTGATATTAATTTAAAATTATAATTTATAGAAGAATTTAGGCAGAAATTCAACAAACCCTGCAACATTGCATGCAAGCTACGCGGGGCCGTTCAAGGGGCTGTAAGGAAGAGGCAGGAAAGCCCCACTGAGTGGCTGCAAGGCATTGGTAATTGTTATGTTTTTGCGTTTATTTCTGAGTTTTTAATTCGTATTAAAACCCTCTTAGTATTAATAATCTTCTGTACATAAAGAACAAGCGATACGACAACAGATACCTCAGCCCCACGCAGCTGCTGCACACCGCGGCTGCCACACAGGGTGATTCTTGCTGCTAGTAGCTGCTGTTGTTGTTGCTGCTGCTGTTGCGGCTATCTTTTTGCTGTTGTTGGGGACTGGCTCAGCTGCTAGAGTCCTCTGAGGGAGTCTGCTGTTGCAGATAAAGCTGTATATACTGCTGTTGGGGTGTCCATACACCGCGGAGAGCGCGGAGTTGCCGAAGCTTTGCTTTTAGGTGCTGCTGCTGTTGCTGCTGCTGCCTCTTCTTCAAGACGGCTTACTTCTGCCTGCTGCCCAGCCGGGGGATGCATCAATAGAGCGGCTCTGGGCGGTATTGGGGTGTTCCAGCTGCTGCTGCGTCTGCTGGTGTTGCGGCTGTCTGTTGCTGCTCTTTTTCTCGCGGTCGTCTCCATTTGCTGCTGCAGCTGTTGATTTTGCTGCTGCAGCTGCTGTTGCTGTTGCTGGGAGCTGGTCGTGGAAGTTACGCTGCTGCTGCTGTCGCTCACCTGCAGCTGTAGTGGGCTGTCTTTTTGCTGCTGTTCAAGGAGCAGGAGTATTATCTTTTTGCTTTCGCTAGAATCTGTTGTTGCTACTTGCTGCTAGACAGACCGAACATGTCTTCTGCAGAAGCAAGCCTATTAGCGGGTGCCGCTGCAGCGGAGGCACTAGTTGCTGCTGCTGCTGCTGGTGCGCAGCATGACCAGCAGCAGCACTGGGGCATAGAGGGTTCTTCTGCTGGGGGCGATGAGAAGGCGGGTGCTGTGGGGTTGAACAACAACAACAACAACAGCAGCAGCAGCAGCAGCAGCAGCAGCAGCTCTGGCAGCCCCGGGGAAGATGAAGCTGGCAGCAGTGTTGCTGAGGGTTTAGCTAGCGGTATACTCCCGTGTCGCAAGCGCAAAGCCCCAGAGGAGCTGCCGCAGATCGATGAGGCTACAGCAGAACGTTTGAAGAGAGCCACCGACTCCCTAACAAAAGAACAACTCAAAATGCTGCTTGCACGTGCCTGCTCCCACTACCCCGGTACATACACCCCACCATACATACGTGCATGCATGCATGCATAAACACACTCACAGAAACACACAGACAGCGCAGCAGCTGCTGCAGCTGCGGACATGCACGTGTATGCATGCATGCATGCGTGTGGGGCAAGGGCAAGCAGCCCCTGTGCATTTCGTTGGGATCGGGATCGTGCTGATGAGGCAACTGTATGAAGCTGTTTCCTCTTAGTGGGCGTTTCCTGATCTGCGCAGACACTGCAGGGGCTAAGCCACCCCACACGCTGTATGTACACTTAGCGTGGGTTGCTGCATGCGGCAGTCCTAACTAGTGGGGTGTCGTTGCATGCGTCTGCTGCTGCTGTTGCTACTACTTCGGGTAGATGTTGCTGCCAGCAGCGCCTTCCTTTGCTGCGGCGGTACTGCAGCAGAGAAGGCGTTGCTGTTGCTGGTTGCAGGCGTGTTGGCTGTGCAGTATAATGGTGATAGTACCCTCGTAAGACACGCATTTGAGTAACTATGGGGTGTACATACACCTGCGCTGCGAGGAGATACACCTAAAAGGGTTGTGTAGTTGCAGTGCTGCACAGAGGCAAAAGCAGCAGCAATAGCCGTGTTGCTGTTTAGGGTTTTAGTGAAGAAGAAAAAAATGCTTAATTTGGAGTGTACAGGCACAAACAGACAACGCAAGCCGGTGCCGTTTCGTGTGCATGCATGTACACCAGAAGAATAACGGGGTCTAAATGAAAGTTGTGCAAGTGCATATGTACATCGGGGTAGTGGGGTTGTTGTTTGCATGCGTTGCGGGTGGGGTTGTTACTGTTTGCTTGTGTAGATTAATTGTTTATGTGTATTAGAAAGGGCAAGGAGAGAGGCTATTTTAATGATTTATTTGTATCTGCAATCACAACAAGAAAGGATATATTTTTTATATACGGTGTATGTGTATGTTTATTATATATTATGGTTTATGCGTAGGGGGAGATCAGCGTAATTATATATGTATATACAGCAAATGATGCAGCAGATGGAAGTTTGTGCTGTCAGTATATGTTGTTTGCCCTCAAGGGGCGGCTGGCGAGGTGTATGCATATAAGAAATACAAAATAATAAATAGTTAATTGTACTTACTCTTGGGGCATATAAAGAGACACTTATGTGTTCCGGGTGTATGTGCAGCTGTGGAGAACGCGCTGTACGCGATGATTGAGGCAGACCCGAGCAGCAGGCGGCTGATGATAAGAAATGTTCCATACACTGCAACAGAGACATCTCTGAAGCAAACTGTTGAGGCTTACGGGCCTATTGAAGACTTCAAGCTTGTCATTGACAGAAACACAGGTGAGAGGAGGACGGGGTCCCCTGGGATCATCTGGGATCGCCTGGGATCGTCTGGGATCCCAGGGGAATCGTGTGGGATCGGGTTTGTGGGGTGGTGGTTTCGGTAGTGCTCCGCAGGGATAAAGAGGCAGGAGGGAGGGGTGACCCTCTGGCCTGTGGGTGGCCTTGGGCGTTGTTTGTCAGTGTAGTTGTGGGTGGGGTTGTTGTGTTCGTGGGCCTTGATTCTTTTGTAATGTTTGCTCTCTCCTTTGTTTGTATTACCCTTTGGTCTTACTGGTTGTTGGGGTGTGTGTACCAGGAAGGGCCTATTTAGGGTTTAGGGTTTAGGGTTTAGGGTTTAGAGTTAAAGTGTTGCGTTGCAGGGGGTTGTGCATAGTGGGGATGGTGTTTATTTAGGTGGGGTTGTTGTTGCTTAGGGCTTAACAAGGGCTTTGCCTTCGTCACGTACAAATCGATGAGCGATGTAGCGAAGGTCCTGCAGTCAGAGGTGACAATAGACGGGCGGCCTCTCAGCATTAAGTTGGCTTCGCAGCAAGACCAAGGAGCGGCTATGAAGCGTAGGGATATATATACATATACATATGCATATACATATATATATATATATATATCCGTCTCGCTGCATGCATGCGTCTGCTGCGCTCTCTCTGTTTTTGCTTGCATGCGCTGGAGTGTCTCCTCATCCGACTGTTTCATGCATCTCTTTGTTTGGTTGTGTATACGCTTAGGGTGCCTGTTGCCGTCTTGTCTTGTTCTTGTTTCTTTGCATTGTCTTCTTTTTGTCTGTCTCTTCCGATGTTTTGCGCGTTTTGTTTGTTTGTCTCTCTCTGAAGTCCTCTTCCTTCTAGTCCGCTTGTCTCCTTTTTCTGTATATGCTGTCTCCTTCACTTTCTGTCTCCAAACTAACCCCTAACCCCTCTACACCATCACGACCACCACAATAGCAGCAGCAACAGCAGCAGGAGCAGGAAAAACAGCAGCAACTGCAGCCGCGAGAGCAGCAGGAACAGGAACAGCAGCAACAGCAGCAGCAACATGTAATTGGGTATGTGTTGCATGTTGTTGCATCTCTATTTGTGCTGCAGGGGCCTTCCTGGGTCCCAACCAGGGCTGTCGTTTGTTTGTGCGTAATGTCCCTGACACCTGCGATGAGCGCCGCCTTAAGCAGGAGTTTGAAGGCTTCGGTACTGTCAGGGAGGCGGCCATCGTACGCAACAGAGACGGCTCCTCTAAGGGCTACGGCTTTGTTGTATTTGAAGACCCAGAGGCCCTCATGAAAGCTGCCAACCAGGCACAGAGAGTTATTGATGGTAAGCTCCTGCTGATGCTGCTGTTGGTGTTGCTGCTTCTGGGGCTTATGCTGTTGCTGTCCATGCCTGGGGGGAGGGGGGGA